GGTGTGCTCGGTTTGAATCTAAATAGTTACAATTTATGGTTACAATAGCTGCGTGTGTGTATACTACCGAAGGCAAACGTCGGTCGTTCGACGTCACACCGCATTGATAGCACTCAGTGGTTTCCTCCGCTGCGATCCTCTTTAAGTACTTACCGAAGCATCCGTGTCCGATGGTCCTGAAGGTTAGTCTCCCGGCTCCTAGCTACTCCGTCCAGTTGGCTAGGATGGCACCCGCTACTCTTCTGCTGTCGGCGTCACTCTCATCCAACTCCATTCTCGAAGAGCTCGCTAGTGGGCCCGCAGTCTTCCCATCGCGAGCAGCCTCTCCTTGGCCCCAACGTTGCACTCGCGTAATTTCCGCGCGCGTTGGAACAATTGTGCCTCCATCTTCGCTAGCAGGTCGAATGGAATCGACTCAGTGAGGGTTAGCGTCGCCTCTTCCGAGATCGTGTGATATGCTCGTACGATCCGTATCTCCATTCGTCGCTGGAGTCGCCGCAGCAACCTGGCATTGGCATGCTTGGTGGTCAAACCCCGCGACCAAATGGGCGCGCCGTAGAGGGCCATAGACTTCACAATCGAGGTGTAAAGTGTTCACACCATGTCCTCCGCACCGCCTATGTTGGGGAAGATCTGACCACAGCTGACACATGGTGGCCACACCTTCCACCCTGGGTAACAAGGTGATTAAGTGCTCCTCGAAAATCATTCGCTCGTCGAGCGTCACTCCGAGTACTTCATCTTACGACCCACGAGGATGCGGTCGTTATCAATCTCTATCCACGACTGCGGCGGACGTCTCGTCCGCGGGAGTCCGTGAAACCAGATTGCCTCCGTCTTCTTGGTCGCCACATCGAGTTCCAGCCTCTTGATCCGGCTGGTAACTGCAGTCACATCCGCCTCTGCTAGTCTGATGGTTCGCGTCCAGTCGCGGCCATCAACGATGAGCAGAGTGTCGTCGGCGTAACACGTCAGGCGTGCGCCTGTCGGTAACGCCGTTTCCAGAACCGCGTCGTATCCCAGCACCGACCCTTGTAGAACACCACGATCGATCCCCCTACGCGTAGCTACCTGCCCCCCGTCTATGTGGTATTCCACGATCCTGTGAGTAAGATAGTGCCCCACTACTTTTCTCAGGTAGAGAGGCACCCGATGCCGGGCAAGTCCTTCTCGGATCCTCGACCAGGGCAGCGAGTTGAACGCATTGACGATGTCAATCGATACCGCCAATGCCTTCTGTTACTTCGCTCTGTCTCACCATTGATCCTGCCTGACCTCGGACACAATCTATAGCGTCAATGATGGACTTCCCCTTTCGGAAGCCAAATTGGCTCTCCTGGAGGTTCGATCCTGCGGCTTCCAGATGCTTCGAGAGACGGTCCATTGCCACTTTCTCGAAGAGTTTCCCCACCTCGTTGAGCAGATGGGTCTGTAAGCCGACGGAGAGTCCGGTTCTTCTCGGATTGAGGATGAGTACTAGCCTCGCGGCCTTCCAGCTCTTGGGCACTCTGCCGCTGTTCAGGCAGCTGTCGAACAAATGTTTTAGTCTTCCTCCGAGGGCTCGCAGCGTTAACGCGAGCGCGCGGTCGAAGATCCCGTCCGGTCCTGGGGCGGTGTTCCTGGTTGCCATCTTCTTCACAGCTGCTGCCAATTCCTCTTCCGTGATCGGTGGCGGCGGCTGCTGCAGTGGATCTATTCCTCGAGGCGGGGTGTCTCGCGCCTCTTTCAGATCGTGCGGAAACAAGTTTCCCAGGACTCTTTCGAGTGTCGCTCGGTCCATGGCTTCCGTCACTGGCGGCTCCCTCGGCCGAAGTTTGCCAAGCACCAGTCGGTAGGGCCTTCTCCAACGGTCAGTGGTGCTGATAAGCTCGTCCCAGGCACGAGCTTTAGCCGACCGTATCATTTTCTGAAGGGTAGTCATCTTCACCGTGTACTGGAGGTAGAGCGCTACTTGCTTGCGGTCGAATGGAACATTCGACGAGCTACCGCGTAGCTGGTCTTCTTCTTTTCGATCTCTGGCGTCCACCAGTAGACCGAGTCGCGGTGCGTACATCTGACGCGTGACATGGCAGCGTCACAAATCTCTGCCATCTTTCGCTGCATTCAGTCGGTTTCCTCGTTGACGTTGCAGGCGGGGTCGGCAGTTGGTAAGATGTGTGCTGCGGACATGCTGCGACGTGGTCATGTCCTCGTCTATTCTGCTGACCGCCCATCTCCCAGGGTGGCGGTTCTTCCTATTGCTGGCGGTCGATGCTTCTTCTTCTTCAGACGAGATGAAAGTCGATGACGATGTAGTCGCCCCATAAAGGTGGTTGCTCAGCGACTCCAACTCCACCGCCACTCTCCACTCCTCTATTCTGCGCTCTGCTGCAGGCCTACGATAGTCGACTATCGATTCTCCCTGCCAGCGAATGCAAGTGCTCGGTCTGCTGGAGTTCAGTAGACGGAAGTCCAGCCCAGCTGCCCAGTCCGATTCTCCTCTTGGATCGATCTAGGGGGAACCCTAAAGCGTGGACTTCGCGTTGAAGGATCCCCCAGGACCAGTACCTGCAACACAGTCACTCAGGCTGTCCAACAGCTTCTGGAGCGAAGATAATGACGCGTTCGGAGGGGCATATACCCTGACGACGGCCATGACACTCCGTCTTGCCATCACGTAGCCGCATCTCTGTTCAATTTCTTGGAACTGGGTGGAGGCGTTGGTCTCCGTCCTGACCAGTGCGATGGATTGCAACGTGTCACCGACCCAACCGGAACCGTCGGGGATCTTGTGTGGCTCCGCGACTACCCGCTCCTTGCTCGGCCTTGGTCTGCAAGAGCGTCTTGCGCTCTGGCCGATCGATTCACGTTGGCCTCTATGATGTGGCCTGCGAGGTCCATCACTCCGCGATCTCCATGGCCACTTCCTCTTCGCGGCCACTTTCCTCTTCTTCCGCTGCGGGCTGTTTATCTTCCGCCCTACTCTTCTTGCTAGTGGTCCGCTGTTGGTGTCCGCTCGGGCCAGGTAGCGGTTGAGATGCTTCCGGTCCTTTCTTCGGTCTTCCACCGCCGTTGGCCGCGTTTCTCTTCGGCCTGGATAGTGGTTTGCAGGTCCTGCTACCCAGCCAGTGAACCGCCGGTCTGCCAAGGTCTGTGCACAGCGGGTACCTGACGGGGGCGATGCAGTCGCGCGCCTAGTGTTTCCGTGTCTCGCACCTGTAACAACTTCTGCTGCGGCCTGTGTCCGATGGGGAGCGTTGTGCCATGTAGCCCTCCATGCATCGGAAGCATTGTAGGGCGGATGTTGAGCGCCTATACTCTCGCCGATACCCAACCCATGAGTGTCCTTCCCGTGGCTGTAATTCTCTTCATCGCTGTGGCCGGGCACATTAGACACACGGTCCCCATACTTATCGGCGTGTGGCGTCGGACCTCTCCAGCCTTGATCGCGGAGATGTCGCAATCTCCCGCTGTGGCCACTGCTGACGCCATCTCGGCCGGGGTGACCAAGTCCGCTGATGCGGACCTCTGTCATCTTGGTGAGGCAAGCTATTTTGACTTCTCCCCCATTCGGGAAAAGCTCGCGCAGGCGATCGGCAAGCTGGTCCGTCTTCTCCGCGCTCTTCTCGCCCGGGATCTCAATGATCATGCCTCCGGTGATCGCTCGTCGGACACGCTTGATCC